TGCGGCTTGTGCAGCTGGGCTGAGCCCTGGGGTTCTCGCCGGGGTTTTTGGCTGCCTCGTTCGCTGAGGATTTAACGGGAAGGGGAGGAAATGCCCGGCTCGCGTTATATGGCGAGTACAGGCAGGGCTGAGGAGTGACTCAGGGGTGAAGCATGGCTCGGTGGGAGGGATGGAGGCTGGATCCTGCCGCTCTTTGAAGTATGCAACTGTATGAGACCGGATAAAGGTCCAAATCTGAATCAGGAAGATACTGCTGAGCGTTATTCTTAGCAAGTTATCCAGTCTTTTCTCAGCAGAGAGGATGCTTGTGGCTTCTCTCTACCTTGCTGAAGCCCAAAAGTCTTTATGAATGATTGAAAAAGGATTATTCCTTTCAAACAAATCATAAGAGCAAGTACCTGACTGCGAGGAACGAACCCATAAATCTCCCCTTTGCAAGCGTTGCCAAGGTCTTTCAATAACCCACTGCGTATTTTTCACAGGATGCCAGACGTACATGGACATAATCATAGTTCTGGATGGATCAAACAGCATATATCCTTGGGTTGAAGTTCAGCACTTCCTGATAAACATCTTGAAAAAATTTTATATTGGCCCCGGCCAGATACAAGTAAGCCCCTGCACAACTCGTGCACCCCCCCGTGTCGTGCAGAGTCCCCTGGCCGTGCGCGGGGGGGCCGTTTCCAACACCCCTTTTCTGCCAATATTGCTGCAATTTGGTGCCACAATTTTTTCAACATCAGCTTCCAGCGTTAAAGCCGAGCCCATGGAAATAACGCTCACATTAATGTCTCTGAATGAGCTACGGAGGGAGCAGCACCTCCCACCCCGGCCGGGCACAGGGAGGATGAAATCATACAGAAATACAGAAGTGTTGCCAGTTTGTTACACCTGTGAAGAGCTCTCTCCATCCTCTTCCGACTGGCATTCGTGGGGTGATTTGGGCAGGGATATCCTCAACAATTTGCACAAATAACCCTCCCATTTGGTCCCACCTAGAGATGCCGTGGGGCCGTGCTGGGGCACAGCACGCCTGCACCACCCCAAACTTTTAGGGCAGGGCAGGGGTGAGAGCTGGCAGGGAGTAGAAATAAAATTGAGCGTTATCGATGGTCCCACAGAGGGAAAACTGGAGGAAATCGGGACAGAGTGATTTGTAACGGTGACTGTTATTCCATGCGATGGACAAAAACGTGCTCGTTGTGTCGCAGGCCCTCGCTACGCAGCGGGTGGTTGGCATCCTTTGTGATATTCCTTTAACCCCTAGGTGGGAGTTGTTCAGTACGGAGAAGACGTCGTCCACGAATTTCATTTAAATGACTACAGGTCTGAAAAAGATGGGGTAGCGCCTGCCAGTCACATAGAGCAAAGAGGAGGTACAGAAACCAGGACTGCCTATGGGATAGAGTTTGCTCGGTAAAAATCTTTCACCTTCCCATTCCCCCGATAACAAGATTTAAATCACCATTTGTTTTTCTTCCCTCTCTCCCCCTTCACTTTTCCTCGCTGCTTAAAAAGCAGGGGATACCGCCAGGCTCAAAATGCTTTCGCAAAACTGCTCGGTCCTTAATTGGTGCTTCACAAACGGTGCTTTGCAAAACTGCTCCGTCCTCGGTCGCAGCTGCACCAGAAGGAGGGTGCAGAGGCAGACCCTGAAAAATGCATCCTCTGTCTGAAAGCAGCCAGGGCTGAGCTCTCAGCCCCCAAACCCAACCCCACGTCTGCCCCCGGCGCTGCAGCTCCTTTGCAGGCACCCACCAGGCACCCGGGAGCTCAGTACAGCCCCGACCCACAGCTCCATCTCCTCCATGATCTGGGATGAGTGCCTGCTCCTGCACTTTTTTGCCTGACCAGTATTTCTGCAGCAGATTTAGGACATTTTGCTGAATTAAAGGCTCCTCTCCTGCAAGAAGCCAGCTCCATCGGTGGAAAAATCCCCTTTCAAAGTCCTAAAATGTTCCCTGAGAGTCCTGTGCCTGATTGCACCTCCCCAAGGGCTAGCAGCCCACCAGGCACCGCTCGGTGCTTTACCACGCGGGAGCTCAGAAGCTTTTCAGAAAGGTGGCCGGAAAGGGGCAAAGAGAGTAATGATTGTAATCACAGATGGAGAGTCGCACGACAGCCCAGACCTGGAGAAGGTGATTGAGGACAGCGAGAAGGACAACGTCACCAGATACGCCGTGGCCGTAAGTCGGGGGCAGGATGGGGGGCCCTTTCAGCAGCAAACGGCTGCAAAAGCCGTGCAGGGCTCGGCAGTGCCCCGTGCACCCCAGTGCAATGGGGCTGGCGGTGCTGCACATCTCCATCGCTCCCGGCCCATCTGCGGGGTTCCTCGTTGTTGGCCCTGCTTGCTTTCGAGGCGGTGGGATGCTTGGCTCTGCCAGAGCAGGTTCCATGGCCGGGGACAGGCAGGACCCTTCATTGCCCCTGAATTGCACGAGGGGGTCCCCAGCCTGGGCTGCCTGGAGGATTTTCAGCAAATCTTGGCCCCCTGCTTTGCTCCCGCAATGGGGTGCCAGCTGCCAAGGCTGTCAGGCTCCTTCTATAGGGACACCCCCTGCTCGGGTGCTTTGGGACAGTTCCATCCATCGTATGAAAGCCCCTGAGTCTTGCGTTTCTATTTCCAACCTAGGTATTGGGTTATTATAACAGAAGAGGAATCAATCCCGAGGCCTTTTTGAACGAGATAAAATTCATAGCGAGCGACCCGGATGACAAGCATTTCTTTAATGTCACGGATGAAGCAGCACTCAAAGACATTGTGGATGCACTGGGGGAAAGGATATTTAGCTTGGAAGGTGAGCGTTGGTCCTGCCTGGCACATCCCGGCCGGCCAGGCTGCAGCGGGCACCTTCAGATGTGCTGTCGGTTCTCGTTTTGCTGAAGTGGAATGGGTCAGACTGGGGGTTTCCCTAATACCTGTTTGATACAGAACCTAAATTCACACTTTGAATATCTTCACATGGAAAGAAAAGTCTTCATTTTGAGTGGTTTGTGTCCCTCGGTGCCGGGAGGACAGGGGTCCTCTCCTCGCAAGGTGACCCCTCGTTCTTGCACCCACTCTTGCAGAGCTCCGATGGCTCTGTCATTTATAGCCAACCTTTGAAACTTGGCACGGGGGTCTTCTGGGTGTCAACATCTTTCTCACCCATCAAACCTCATTCAAACCCATAAAGAGGCAAAAACCCACCCACCGGCTGCCAGGGACTCCCCGGGGTGGCAGACGCTGCAGGGTTATGGGAATAACGGGGGGGGAGGTTATGGTTTATTGGCTGAAATTAAATCATAGAATCATAGAATAGTTTAGGTTGGAAAAGCCCCTTAAGCTCCCCCAGCCCAACCATTCCCCTAACCCTGCCATCCCACCCCCAAACCCTGGCCCTAAGCACCTCGTCTACCTGGCTTTTAAATATTTTTGTTCCAAACGACAGCACTTCTGTCCACCTTGTGACGAGTTTGTCAGTCTCCAGCACTAAACTGATCTAAATTTGATAGGAAAAGCGCATCCTGGGATGAACAGTTGGAGCAGAAGATGGAGGGCTTTCACTGAAAATTAAATATCTCTGGGTTTGGGGGCATTTTGGTCAAACCAGCTCATGAACGCCCACCAGTTTGCCAGTTATCTCGGCCCAGCCAGCCCAACACTTCTCAGTGGAAGAAAGCTTCCCTGGGTGAGAAGCCTCACCCAGTTGCAGTTATGAAGCAAAATCCTCTAAATCCACATTTTTGTGTGGCCTCGCAGCTGGGAAAGGGGAGAACCCCACCGCAGCAGAGCTCCCAGCACCCATTAGCAACACAAGTGGGTGTAATTGAGGTGATTTAGGGGCAAACAGGCTCATTTGTGGCAACCGAGGTCCTCTGTGCCCCAGGTGGGCTGGAGGTGGAACCCTCATCCCACCCCGACCCACCGAGGCACCACTCAGCCCCTCCAGATGACCTCTAGGGTTCCCTTCCAACCCAAAACATTCTATGATTCTATGATTAAATACAAATTCCCTCTT